CCGAACCCGCCCGATTGACACCTATAGCCGCAACACTTTTAGCTGAAGATCAATCACCACCGCCACCGGTTCTGCGCCTCCCCTCCTCATCTTCCTCACTGCTGCTGCCGGATCTGGTTCCCAGAATCCCTCTTTGGTGGTTTGTTTAGGCGGGGATTTGAGGCCGAGGATTGATTTTTGTGGGGAGAGGGAGAGACGGAGGGATTAAGAAGATTTGGGGATTTTCCATAAATTTTTGATTTTGTTTTTCTTATTTTAATTATTTTAGATGGAAAAATAATGAAAATTTCACGTCAGATGTCACGTCAATGTTGACTAGATTTTTTTTTGTTAAATACTAACGGTCAACACTAACAAAATAATAGTTCATGATATAAATTTGAATAGTTTAGGACACAAGTGACATTTCTTCGATAGTTCGGGTGTTGTAGTTGTATTAGCCCTAAAAAAAATTGGTTCTTTGTATGTTGTAATGATGTTAGATTCTCTATAATTATAATTTCATTATTATCCTCTGAGTTGTCATTGCTTGTGTTGAAGGCACAATTCAAATGTTTGTGAATGTTGCAGGTGGTAAAACATTTTGCTCTCAAATACTTTTTGCTTCAACTACAATTAATAGACAACAAGTTTCACCAAGCTGAATGGAAGGTTTGTCTCGTGACTCATGGTAATAATAAGGGTAAATACAATATATTAGCCAGAACTATTAAGCAGCGGGGAATAATAGCCACAACTATCGAAATACAAAAAAGTAGCCATAACTATTATTGCGGGTCAAGAAATGGCTAACAGCCCATTACCGTTATTCACTCGGCAACGTCTTGGTGAGGGATTTTTTACGAAAATAGATGCTCACGTTTCTTGCCACTTTAAATTATTAGTAGCCACGTCAGCATCTATTCAATAAAGTTAACAGACATTAGGAAGGAAAGTTAATGGATGGCTAATTTTGTATTTCGATAGTTGTGGCTATTACTCTTCCTTGTGTAGTAGTTCTGGCTAATATATTATATTTATCCTAATATTAATTAATATGTAAGCTTTTATTGTTTAAAAAGTGTTTTTTGTTGTTGTTGTTGTTATACAGGATCTGATAGCTGTATGTTTCTGTTTGTAGTAGTCTAGACAAAAAGCTCTTGCAGATTTGCAGCAAATGCAGAATGAGCATGTCAGTATCTTCTATGTACACATTGGGAACTATAAAGGATGAGAAGCTGTCAAGCAATGTTGTAGAATCGGGAAGTTACATGCAACCAGAGCTACGAGTTTGTCACACTGGCTTGACTGAAACAACTCAATGATAATCGTTATAGTTATGATTCCAGTTTAGTTGTAACACGTCTAAATGATCTGAGTGAATAGGTTACAACTTTGTGGAACAATGAGCTCGAGTTCAGATGGAGCAACAGTGTCAAGAAAAGAGTGTCGTGATCAAAACTATGATTTTGTTTGCAGAGTTATTGGTAGGTGATCTGACAAATAGAATTGTGTAATGTAGGGCATGCTCCACTGTATAGAAACACACATCTAACTCTTCAGACTGAGTTCTACCTTTCTGTCTACCTCTTTCGAAGACAACTCATGTCTCCTATAACTCAATAGAATTCTACCTTTCTGTCTACCTTTCTAATATTATAAAATGAGAAACAAGTTTGCAAATAAGCTCGCTGCCAGATGTATCCTAGTTTTACTTCTGCTATATATTTGGTTGAATCGCATCTAGCTTGAGGTTCATTGACTCTACTTCGGAGACAAGATTTGAGCATCATCTGTTCTGTTTACCAGATACGACACTACTAGCATTAACAAATATGTCGCCCATACTTTTTATAGTCACTAAAATTGGATACTAAACTTCCAATCTGCATTACATTCCCACAAAACAAGAGGTCCTTCATACTTCTCGGTTTTCACCTTCTTAAAGCCCCATAGTTCCATTCCCATAGCTAAAATTAGCAACAAGAGGTCTTCATACTTCTCGTTTTTCACCTTCTTAAACCCTCATAGTTCCTTTTTACCTACAAGCAAACGAACTACGTTATCCAACCAGGCATATATCATCTTCTCGATGACTTTTCCATTATGCCTTATAGCAAATTCACACAGTTACACTTATACAGATTATATAATGCACAAGAAGTAGGGGCTTAATAAATGGACAAGTGAAAGAAACTGGCGAAACATCTACCTATGAAACATGTTGAACAAAAGGACTCTAAGGACCATTAACAACACAATCCTAAGGGATTAACCTACACACTTAGTGCTATGTACTTTGGGGTCAAACCCAATGGAAGACTAAAAGTTAAAAACAAGACATCAAAAGATATCACCCATATAAATCACAAAGGTGTTGAGACATGTGATCAGTACCACCAAAATCAACTCATGAAGACTAAACACACAACTATAAACTAAATGGCCCTTTGCGTTTCAATGCATGACATCAAACTTGTTTTGATGAAGTACCACGATATTAAACAAGTCACGAATCATTCTTCCAAGAACACTATTAGTTGTAGCAGGCAAATTAACCAAACCAACTCTGGAATCATGCCCTACGTTTTCTGTACTCTCCAAAAAATGAATGGTTCTTCTTACAATCCTTTTGCTATGATAGGAAAGCTTTGAAACTACTCGATGGAAGGAACTTAATCACTTAGTTAACGAATCCAGATTCCAATCACAAGCTACTTTTCATTCACGAGCAATTAGGGATGTTTTACCTTGTTGAAGAGTCAAGGATCTTGAGCTGCCCCTAGCAGAAATGGGCACGGAGTTCTGAAAAGCAAATGGTTGTGCTACCAAGGATCCCATCATCTTCCGAGCATAACATGGAAGGCAGAAGTTTCGATGATGAGAAAACAAGCCATGAGCATCAATTCAAATTTGATAAACAGAGCCACCAAGCTAAAGATGCTTACGTTACAATGTTGGAACGAATTTGGGAAAGAAGCCAATGCAAGCCTACCTGCATCACAATCATAGAACAACCATTCTCTGACCTGCACTGGTATGGTATTTGGTGGAGGCAATTTTGGATGATGACAGAGGCCCGTGAAAGATATAGACTTCTTCACCTCTGAATGAGTCACCGATGTGATTTTGGAGATGGGATCGGCCAGTAACAAGTCATCGGAGTGATTTTGGAGAACGCCGGCGAAGGAGATCGAGGAACTCCCTTTTGGTTCGTCCCTCCTCGTCGTCACCTGTTTTTGAGTTTTTTGAATCTTCCAAACCCAAATGACTTGAATCAATGGACGAGGAATACGCGTGAAGAATTTGGTGGAGGGTGTGAAGTGTGGATGAGAGATGGTGGAGCTCAGCAGAGCAGTTCGCTCTTTTCCGATTCTGACGAGCGATGGAACGAGGAAGATGCCAACGATTCATTTTTCCTTCGTTTATTTTCCAGAATAAAAATAAATGCAACTGAATGTTAATATATTTAAAATTAATAAATGGAGAAGGAAATAATGTAACGACTGTGGGAAGACAGACGTTACTGTTAGTTTAAGGGTGGCTGGGTTCGGCTGCTTCTAATGGGTCATTGGTTTGGATTGGGTTTAATGAAATCAGCTCATGGCACATCAGCTCCACGTGGATCAATAGAAAATCGCCTCACCAGTGCCGCATTTTTTAGAGTGACACTGTACTATTTAGGGGTGGAAATCAGTACGGTATCGGTATCCCAATACCAAATACCAAAATCCCGAATACCGAATTACAACCTAAAGTCAATCCCAATCCCAATCCCTAAATTATTTCGGTATCCCAATCCCAATTCCTAAATATTTCGGTATCCCAATCGGTACTTCGGTATCCCAATCGGTATTATCGAATACGAAATTAATTATCTTTGAAATTAATAATTAAATATATAAATTAGATTTTATTGTTTAATTTAGGGGAAAAAGACTAAGCAAGAGTTTTGAATTATGATATTATTAAGGAGAATGGAGGAGAGGAGACATATCAATTTCTTGTCATTGATAATCTTTAATTTGACGAATTGGAGGTTGAGAGACGACTATTAATAGTGATCGAATGATCTGTGTATAATTAAATGACACTTTTGGTGGTTGAGTGTCATGTAGTAGTAAATGAGAGAGTCTAGTTGAGAGGATAAAATACAAACTATCTTATATTTCGGTATTGATCAGTATTTCGGTATATCCTGATCCCAATCACGTAATCCCTAATACTGAATAACAATTGAAATTCAATCCCAATCCCAATCCCAAGAAATAATACGTGTATTGGGTAATACCAAATATTGACAAATTCGGTACGGTATTCGGTATATTCCAAATACCGGTACCAAACTTCCCGCCCTAGTACTAGTGGCCAATATTTATTCATGGTTAGATGGGCCAACAAAAACGGAAGACCCAATTTTTAGAGCTATCCTTGGTTTTGTCGATCCAGCCATCGAACTTGGCCCAATTTGGTGCTTATCTCCTTCCCAGATGTCATCCACCAACGGCAGCTGCTTGCTTTTACCCGACTTTCCTTTCCCGTTAAGCCAACGCCTCCGATCGCCCTTTTTATCTCTTAACACGGCTTGCTCTGTAATCTCATCATCATCATCCATGGCCTACTAGTCCCTGAAATCGAGTCAAAAGTGTGAGATGATGAGATTGCACTTTTGAATTTGGGGATTCCTGTGTCTGCATGCTGCATTCCAGTCAGTCAAACCTCATCTCCTCATTATAATGTAATGTAACCAACCCCCTTTTTCCTCTCCACCATGGCAACTCGTGACATGACGTAACCCTCTGCGCTTCCTGCCGACTTGTAGAAGCCAATATGATGCAAACTGACAAAATCTCTTATTCCCATCAAAAGAAGTTTAAATACAAAAGAAACTAGAGTCTCAAACTCCGCCGCATCACCAACCCTCTTTCCCTAATTTCCAGCTACCACCAGTAACAAACTAACTGCTTCTGCTAACAAATAGAAGCACGTACTTGACCCATATACTAACTCTAACTACTCAACTTGGACCTCAAACTTTAATACCAAAGGACAATGTACTCTAAGAAACTCAACAACCAAAAAACCACATGGTCTTTTAATCCAACAAATCCTCCCCTGAACTGAAGCCCACCAAACAAAGCTTCAGTTCATTCAAAGGAACCATTTCAATTTTCAACAGCTTCAGTTTGCTGCGACAGCTTCCATTTTTCAGCAGCAACTTCGACTTACAGCAGCAAAACTCCCATTTTTCAGCAGCAACTTCAATATTCCATCTTTAGTTTCCCATTCTACAGAACCTCCAGCAGAAACTCCAATGCAATCTCTTTAGAACACATGAAGAACTCACAAACTCCACTAGATAGCCTTTCAAGTACGCCAACCTTCATAGCCATCCAATTACTCACTCCAAAAAGTTTCAGAATCACCCCTTGTTCCTTCAGTGAGTCCATTTGAAAACTAAACCTTCCATTGAGCTTGCTTCTCCCACACAGACACAAACTTCTTGATAATTTGATGCTTGAGCTATCATCAACCAACGGTTTTAGTCCCACCATTAACACACACATTGACCAACCCATTAGCTTCAAAATCCATCTCGCCCACATGTATTGTATTGTATAATCAGTAGCAGCTACATATTCTGATTCAATGATGAACAGAATTTCCACATGCTGCTTCTTGTAATCACCATATACAACTCCTCTTGATTCTTGACAATTCATGCTTCTTCTCTTATCCATAACATCAGTATAATGTTTAATATTACAACCTTCAAAGCGCATTACCAGGCCCTCCCTTTTGTAGATGATGACATAACCAAGAGTACCATTTAAGTACCATAAGCTTCCAAACAACTTCTCGTACCAAGTATCCACCTGCACTCTATCTCCAGCTGCTGTAAATGCAAAATCAACTGAACATTTGACCAAACCACATGTGATTAAGTACTTGATAAAACCAGCTGCAGTTAGCCACTTCTTAATTGCCCAGACTTGCAATAGTCCAGCTATTTCAGCAGAAAAAACAGCTGCAAGGCTGACCAACCTTGCTGCAAAACCAACTAATCCTTCAGCAATATGAACCACCAGAACTCCTTGGAAATATCTCATCAATCTACACATAATCACAACATGTCCACTCTGTATAAACTCTTCAAATAATTGTGACCTCATTACAGCTTCTAACAATCTGTTTCTGTAAAGAACAGTATGTACCAAGCCAGCTACAATGAAACACTTCTTAGTTCTTGATACCTGCAGCAGCTCATACAATGCTATTTTGAACTTTGTCTGCTGATCTTCCTCCCCTGCAACCAAAAATCCTTGTGGTTGCATCATATAAACCTCTTTAGCCAGATTATTATATGCCCAATAATCGGTGTATGCTGCTAATGTGATTGCTTCTCTATCATTTTCTAAAACACCTAACTCCTCATCACAACCATTCCATACCAGCATGATTAATTCTGGTAGAGCCTCTAAGTCCCATGTAAAGCCATTAGCCTCATTAACCAGAACATCTTTGCTCACCAGTACTTTCTTACTAGAGTTGCAGCTCCTATGCTCATTCAACACAAGCCTTCCTCTTTTTCCGGTTCTTAAATATGCAGTATACTCGGTAAATTCTTTCTCAATTGAGGCTTTGAATTGCTGAAACTTGAGAAATCTTTGTTCACTGTTTGATGATGATGCGACAAGACCACAACGATTTGTATGCACCAGTCGAGACTTTTGATCGATAATCCTTTGGCTTCTCCTTGGAAAAATCCTTCGATGCTGTTTACCAAACCGGAAAGTTGAGCATGTTGTTGCAGCTCCTACCAAATCCTCTCTTTGCATTGTTGTTGGACCATCATGCCTTACATACAAAGATTCTTTATGCCAAAGATTCAGTTTTTCCACTTGATCGTCAGCCGTAAGACACTGCACTTCACTCGTGACTACATCAGTTAGGGAATTTATTTCTCCTACTCCTATCCATGCTGCTGGTGTTGTGACTTCAGCAGTTGAATCTTTCTCTTGTACTTTTTGATTAGTAGTGTTTCCAACTACTTCTGATATGCTGTCATTTCTTTGGTTCACAGTGCACCTGAAACTTTCATTGCTCTCCAACTCGCAATCTTCTAGAAAATCCATCATGACATGATGATGACCATCTGATATATTCACTTCCACTTCATATGTGCTCTCCAACAAGTGATTTTCCATAAAGAACATCTTACTCTGATTGTCATCATCTTCTCCATTCTCTTTCACTTCATCTGCTGTTACATCCTTCTCTTCCTCAACATAGGCCATCAACAATACATTTTCTTTCATATCATAATTCTTGCTAGAGCAGCATGTTTGTTGAGTGAACCAAATGGGGCATTCATTTCTGAAATGACCCAACCTATGACACTTAAAGCACTCTATTGTGTCTCGATTCCATATTCTACCATCTCTGCCTCGGCCCTTTTTATGAAAGTTCCCTCTGCCCTGAAAACTGACACTACCTTTACCTCTGTCATAAAAGGTTTCACGACCTGTCCTTCTTCCTCTTCCATCATCAAACCCAACCTTGAGAGCTTGATCGCCATCTACAACTCTTCTGCTAAACTTCTGCTCATGTACTATTAAAGAACTCTGAAGTGCATCTACAGACAAAGTGTCTATATCTTTTGACTCTTCAATAGCACATACAACATAGTTGAATTTCTCAGTAAGAGTCCTAAGTATTTTTTCAACAATTTGTACATCAGATATGGCCTCTCCGCAGCTTCTCATAGCATTAGAGAATACCATGACTCTGCCAAAATATTGATTCACAGTCTCACCTCCTTTCATCTCTAACATCTCAAAGTCACGCCTTAGAGCTTGAAGTTGAGCACGTCTTACCCTGGCACTCCCTTGGAACTTTGTCCTCATTGAATCCCACAACTCCTTTGCAGTTGCTTTATGAGTAATAGTTTTCAGAATCATCTTGTCAATGCTTCTAAACAAGTAATTTTTCGCTTTGCAATCCTTCAATCTCATTTCCTCCAAAACTTTTTCTTCGGCAGCAGAGATCTCAGCTCCAGCCTTTGGCTCCTTGATTCCTTCACACACAACAGTCCAATATTCCAATGAACGCAACAAATTCTCCACCAAGAGACTCCAATAATCGAAATCTCCATCAAACTTAGGAATACCCACTTGCACAAAGCTTGAATCCATCATGATCTCTACTCACTGACACACGACACTTATAATATCTCGCTGTCTTTTCACTCACCAATGATATACCAACTCTCCAGAGCTCTCGTGTTTCCCTAAACCCAATTTGAAACTCATCAACACTCAATCACTCTTGTATGAACTTGGTTACAGTTTGCTATAGGCTCTGATACCACATGTAGAAGCCAATATGATGCAAACTGACAAAATCTCTTATTCCCATCAAAAGAAGTTTAAATACAAAAGAAACTAGAGTCTCAAACTCCGCCGCATCACTAACCCTCTTTCCCTAATTTCCAGCTACCACCAGTAACAAACTAACTGCTTCTGCTAACAAATAGAAGCACGTACTTGACCCATATACTAACTCTAACTACTCAACTTGGACCTCAAACTTTAATACCAAAGGACAATGTACTCTAAGAAACTCAACAACCAAAAAACCACATGGTCTTTTAATCCAACACGACTTTCACCACTCCCCTGCAATCTGCGTAATGTGTGTGTTGTTAAATGTTACACCGTTGCCTACATATCTCTATGGACCAGCTGCCACTTACATGGTAGGAAAGCTGATTGGGTTGCTCGATCAACTGCAGCAGCAAGTAGCTAGCTGCTCATTTCTCTCCGGTTCTCAGTGGTGACATATATGGGGATGGAGATCTTAGCAGACACCTCACTCAAACAATCACAATGCGACCCTGGTCAAGGTTGTGTTGCAGTATAATCATGTTCATGCTTCTGCAAATTGCAATCTATGTAGCCTTTTGCGGTTCTGTTTTCATTTTGTTATCTTAGCTTTGCCTATCTTGATGAGGGTTCTTTGTTTGCATCAGAAAAGTAAAGTTTGCCAGCTCAAACCCTAAAGCCAAGAAAGACAGAAAAGAAACATAGAGCATCATCAATCCCACTCCAACACCCACAACCTGGGACTTTCCACTACTTTCTTTTGCGGTACTTTTAACTGTTTCATTCAGCTTAGGACGTTTACTACGTGCTGACGATGTGAATTTGATTAGCTCTAGACGATGTTTAGTAGTTGAATTGAAAATATCGCGGTTACTTTACAAATCTGCCAACACTTGGTGCGATTTGATGACTATAAATAAGCGAAAGATAATTCAACAATGTCATTACTGATTTTGACATTGGGTTGGACTTGCTGCATGGTTTGATTTGTTGTTCGCCTATAGGGGCATTTGGAGGTAGGGGAGATTCTGGTACAGCTGATTTGGAGAAGTTTGGTACGTCTGACAATTTTGATTGCATCTGAGTTTGGCGATTTGCATCGCGTATGGTCTGGCGATATGAATCGCATTTGGATATGTCTGGCAATCTTGATTGCGTTTGAGTTTGGCGGTTTTGATCGCATTTGGATACGTCTGGCGATATGTATCGCGTCTGAGTACATCTGGCAACTTTGGTTGCGTTTGGTACATCTGGTCGATCTGAGGAAATTTGAATTTGGTATTGGGTGGTGATTCCAATCTTTCACCAGTTTGGAGTTGCATCGTTTGGTTTGTCCGTTTGGAATTTGGTTTGTAACCTGTACTCTCCTCAAAATCAGTGAAATTTGTTCTCCCCTGCCCGTGGATTAGCTAGCACACATTGTGTTAGTAAACCACGTTAAATTTGTGTTCGTTCCTGTTGGTTTGGATTATCGATTGCACGCTTCTGTTCTGACAAGTTTCCCAAACATACAAGGAAAAGGTCAAACAAAACCCAAACACAAACCCAAACAAAATAGGCCCAAAACACAAAACAAATCCAAATCAAATTCAAGTCATATCCTAACAAGATGTTTATCAGCATAGTAGTCAAATCCAAATGGGTATATTTCCAATAAGTGCTGCTGGATTGACACAGTTTAGATTTTAATCCTTCCTACCCCAGATAGTGCAAGAGTATGCAAAGAGCAAAATATGAAGAAAGGCTCCCAAAAGTAGCATCAGATTACCAACTAGGGGTGAGCAAAGTAACTCGTGACCCGCCGAACCCGCCCGAACCCGAACCGAGATGGACGGTTTCATCAACTGTTGGGTGGGTCCGGATCTTGTAGAAGGGAAAAACTGCAATACATGGGCGGGTGCGGGTTGAAGGAATTTCGTATATTATCACCCGACCCAACCCATCAACAAATACAAGGCCAATGCTAGGGTGCCGCGATAAAAAATGCGGCACCGGTGCAGCCAAATTCTATTGGTCCACGTTGTCATTAGAAGCTGATGTGGCATTACCGCATTAGTAGAATTTGTAAGAACCTAGCCGAACACCCGTTGCCAATTAACCGGCACAAGTACAACCACCGAACCAGGAATTTGTTTATTTCCTTTTTATTTTCTCTCTCTCAGTAAATAGATTTACATGTTAGTTGTTACGATACTCCCGTGATTTCGCCAGCGCTGGGCCCTGCCGCTGCTTCGCCGGCAACTGAGAGTCAAACTGCGACTCCGGAGGCAGGAGGCTTTAAGTGCCAGGCGATTCAACAATGCCGGCAGAGGCTTCTATTGTTTTCCCCTATACGATTCCATCCGCGAAGGCTCAGCGGCACCGGGTCCAATTGCATGCACTTCTCTTCAGCGCAGCGAAATTGCATTCTCAGAATTCAAGAACACTAAGCATCACCTTCTTATGTTGGAGGACTCGATAGTGAAGAATAATTAGTTTAGGGACTATATTGTAATGGTTGTTTATTTCTGTATTTCTTGATTTGTTATATAGTATATATTGTAAAATGGATAGTGTAAATTTTTACCGGTTTTATAAGAAAAGTAGACTGTTTCTCTCTCCAAGATTCAACATGGTATCAGAGGAGATATTTTCTTGATCTCTCTCTTACTTTCCCCTTTCTTTCGTTCTAGGGTTTTCGTTTTCCGCTCTCAGCTGCTCTGTCATGACTACTCAATCGGCGCAGTTCCCTCCGGCGAATCAGACGAATTCCTCGTTCGTCACTCCCGGCGGACTGCTCGATCCAAGCCATCCTTACTTCCTCAATCCTGGCGATAATCCAGCGACAGCTCTGGTCACCGTCGTCTTCAATGGCAACAACTAATATGCCTGGGCGAGATCGATGGGTCTCGCGCTTCTGGCGAAGAACAAGCTCTCTCTGATCGATCTTGCGGTCGCTCCTCCTTCTCCAGGCGAGCCTCTTCACAGTGCGTGGGAACGATGCAACGTGATGGTTCTTGGCTGGATCTACAGGTCGCTGGCCCCAGACATAGCTCAAAGCATTCTCTGGTTCGACTCCGCGATCGAGGTTTGGCGAGATCTTCAAGATCGCTTCAGCAAGGCAAGCTTGATCCGGATTTCTGATCCCCAAGACGAGGTCTTCTCCTTCAAGCAAGGCACTGCTTCTGTGAGCGAGTTCTTTACTCGTTTTCGCGTTCTGTGGGATGAGTTGGTCACTCTTCGGCCGTTTCCGACGTGTTCTTGTACTCCGAGGTGTTCTTGTGGTGCGCTCACTCTCGTTCGCACATACCAGCAGTCCGATCAAATCATTCGATTTCTCAAAGGCCTCAACGACAGCTTTGCTCAAATCAGGAGTCAGATCTTGCTCATGGAGCCACTGTCGTCGATTACTCGCGTTTATTCACTGGTAATTCAACACGAGCGTCAAATCAGTTCATCTGGAGCTAGCTCGTTCTCAGGTCCACTTGCAATGGCGAGACAAGCTTCTGGTCGAGGTCAAGGACAAGGCCGCGGGGCTGGCAATCGTCAACGACCGGTTTGCACTCATTGTGGTGGCGTTGGACATACTGTGGATCGCTGCTTCAAGAAGCATGGGTATCCACCAGGATACAAGGGTAAAGGCAAGGTTAACGCAGTGGTTGCTGAAGGATCTGAGGCATCTCTGCCTACTGAGGGTCTTCCATCTGGCGATTCTGGCTCTATGGTGCTTACCTCCGAGCAGTATCAGAAACTGCTTGCTCAAGCGTCTTTTTCTGCACCAGTAGCGGGCTCAGTCTCTTGTCTCATGGCTTCTCAGCCTGGACCTTCATCCACAGGTGCCTCTGCTTCTTCGATTGGTGTGACTCAGCCTAGTCAGCTGGCAGCTTATGCTGCTGCAGGTAAGTTAGCTATGTCTTCTATGGTTCCTAAGTCATTAGGTGTCTCTAGGAATACCTGGATAATAGACAGTGGTGCCACCGATCATGTTGCTTGTTCATTGGATTCATTTGTTGAGTTTAGACCAATGACTGGTATGTTTGTCACTCTTCCTGATGGGTCTCGTGTTGATGTTACTCATAAAGGGTCTGTGCAATTGTCTGCTACATTACTTGTACATGATGTGTTGTTAATTCCCTCTTTCTCCTTCAATTTGTTACCCGCTAGTCAGTTAGCTAAACAGAATGAGTGTGAATTAATATTCTCCCATTCTCATTGCTTGATTCAGGATATCCCGTCCCGACAGAGGATTGGTATAGCTAAGCAGATTGCTGGGCTGTACTACCTCCAAGTCGAGTCTGGACGAGAATCCTCTTCTCTATCTCTTCCTATCACTTTATCTGCTGTGTTTGACACAACTATTAGACATTTTGATCGATGGCATTACCGTCTTGGCCATAGTTCAGTTCCAGGTCTTAGTGATAGTAATAAGTGTCAACATTTGCATTGTACTGTCTGTCCATTAGCTAAGCAGCGTCGTTTACCTTTCCAGTCTAGTTCTTCTTATGCTGCTAGCATGTTTGATTTGGTTCATATTGACATATGGGGTCCATATGGTGTTCCTACCATTGATGGACATCGATACTTTCTTACTATACTTGATGATCATTCTAGAAATACATGGTGTTACTTAATGGTTTCTAAGTCAGAAGCTAGATCCATTGTGCAATCTTTCTGTGCTTATGTGCATACTCAGTTCTCTAAACATGTTAAAGTCATTAGAACCGATAATGGGTCTGAGTTTTCCATGCCATCTTTTTATAATTCTTTAGGAATTATTCACCAAACCACTTGTAATGCCACTTCACAGCAAAATGGCCGTGTTGAGCGCAAGCAACAGCATATTATTGCTGTGGCTAGAGCTCTTCTTATGCAAGCTTCTCTTCCGGTTATGTTTTGGGGACATGCAGTTTTGCATGCTGTCCATCTCATTAATCGCTTACCAACTCCAGTCTTAGATAATAAATCGCCATTTGAAATTCTTTTTCAAAAACAGCCTGATTACAATTTATTACGGGTCTTTGGTAGTTTATGTTATGCGTCCACATTAGCTCACAATCGTCCTAAATTTTCATCTAGGGCTGAACCTTGCGTTTTTATTGGATTTCCATTTGCCACAAAGGGATATAAACTGTATAGCTTGGTCTCTCATAAGTTCTTAGAGTCTAGGGATGTTTCATTCCATGAAAACATTTTCCCTTTTTCAAACAATGAGTTGTCCTTAAATTCTCTAGATCAGGTTCTCCCTTTCATTGATATTCAGCCTATAGAATGTTCTGTTTCTCCTTCCTTAGTGTCTTCTTCTCTTCCACTTCCCTCTAATCCTTCTGCTTGCATTCCGGCCGACATTCCAAACAATTCACAACCTTCTTCTCCATTAATTATTCAACCTAGCAGCAGTGATCAACCTAGCAGCAGTGACCAACCTAGCAGTAGTATTCCTCTTAGGCGTTCTGATAGGGTTAGGTTGCCTCCCAAGAAACTCAGTGATTATATCAGACCTAATACTAACACTAGATATCCACTTTCCCAAGTTCTTTCTTATGACAGGTTGTCTCCTTCTTATCGTCGGTTTATCATGGCAGTTACCAATGAGATAGAACCAGCCTCTTATACAGAAGCTGCCATGGATCCAAGGTGGGTTGAGGCTATGGATTTAGAGCTCCTAGCATTGGCAAACACCAATACTTTGACTCTAACTCCACTGCCTCCAGGTAAGCGTGCCATAGGTAATAAATGGGTTTTCGTATTAAATTTAAATCTGATGGTAGCATAGAACGATATAAAGCAAGATTAGTTGCAAAGGGTTATACTCAAACTCCAGGTCTTGATTATTTGGAAACTTTTTCCCCTGTAGCAAAACTTACTACTGTTCGTGTTTTGCTTGCTTTAGCTTCTATTAGAAATTGGCATGTACAACAATTAGATGTTAACAATGCTTTCTTACATGGTGATTTAGTTGAAGAGGTATATATGAAACCTCCTCCAGGACTACTTTTACCATCAAAGAACCTTGTTTCAAGCTTAATAAATCACTATATGGATTAAAACAGGCTAGTCGCCAATGGAATCACAAAATCACTCAATTTTTGATCTCTGCTGGGTATACACAGTCTAAGGCAGATTACTCTTTGTTTACTAAGTCTAACAAGGGTAAGTTTCTTGCTGTGTTAGTCTATGTTGATGATGTAATATTGGCTGGTGATGATTTAGAGTCTCTCAATTTGTTGAAGTCTCAATTAGATGATGCTTTTAAGATCAAAGATCTTGGTCAGCTTAGATACTTCCTAGGCTTAGAAATAGCAAGAACCCCTGCTGGTTTTTCTGTTTGTCAGCGCAAGTATGCGTTGGATTTGCTTACTGATGCAGGATTGCTTGCTGCCAAGCCTGCTGCCACCCCTCTGGCTGCTGGAAATCAACTTTCTCATACTGATGGTAAACCAATTTCTGACCCTGAATTATATCGTAGACTTGTAGGTCGTCTCTTATATTTGTGTCACACTCGTCCGGATATTGTTTTTGCTGTGCATCATTTAACCCAATTTATGAGTAAACCTTCTGATGTTCATCTCACTGCTGCATATCGAGTTTTGCGGTATATAAAGAATAATCCTGGCCAAGGCTTATTCTTCCCTAGCTCATCATCTCTTAAGCTAACTGGATTCTCTGATAGTGATTGGGCTGGATGGCCAGATTCTCGTAGATCCACAACTGTTATTGTGTGTTTTTAGGTGACTCGGTCATTAGTTGGAGATCAAAGAAACAGCCTACTGTTTCTCGATCATCAACTGAAGCCGAATATCGTGCAATGGCAGACTTGACATGCGAGGTACAGTGGCTGCAGTACATTTTTCGTGATCTGGGTGTTAGTTTTAATTCTCCTACTACTCTGTTTTGTGATAATCAGTCCACTATTCGCTTAGCCGAGAATCCTGTTGCTCACGAACGTACAAAACATATAGAAATTGATTGTCATATCATTCGTGATCGCATTCTCTCAGGTTTGATTAAGGTTATGCATGTCCACAGCGAGCACCAACTCGCTGATGTTTTCACCAAGTCTCTGTCTAGTGCTGTGTTTTCAGGATTGATCTCCAAGCTGAATCGTTTGGACATACACGCTCCAGCTTGCGGGGGGCTGTTGGAGGACTCGATAGTGAAGAATAATTAGTTTAGGGACTATATTGTAATGGTTGTTTATTTCTGTATTTGTTGATTTGTTATACAGTATATATTGTAAAATGGATAGTGTAAATTTTTACCGGTTTTATAAGAAAAGTAGACTATTTCTCTCTCCAAGATTCAACATCTTAAGCCATGAAATAACCTAAACTCACAAAAGGCGAAAAAGAGTAAAATGGTTGACTTGGCCTTAATCATGCACTTATCAGATTAACCACGACAATGTGAAAAGCAAAACTGAAAAGCTCAACCGATCCTTTCACGAAACCTTCCCCAGAAGATAATTAACATAATTAATATTGTTGAATAATGAAGAAATTACAACACAAATGCAGAGACCGAGTCAATTTTGTTCATACGTGTATGTATGGGGCCGACGGTGCGGGTGAATCGGACACGGCCGCAGTGATAGTCCTAGTTGCCGGCGAAGCAGTGGCAGGGCCCAGCGCCGGCGAAATCACGAAAGCCGCGGTAGGAGTATCGTAAAATATAATAATGTATTTAGTATTTACCGAGGAGAAAAAATTAAAAAAAAAACTTCCGCGGTTTGGTGGTTGACTGGTTGTTCTCCGACTCTCGGCTGATTGGCGACGGTTTCGGCTGGGTTTTATTTAATGCCACATCAGCTTGCTAATGACAACATGGCCCAATAGAAATTGGCTGCACCGGTGTCGCATATTTTACAGCGGCACCGTAGCATTGGCCCAAATACAAAGCCCTGTGTGCCTGTGCCATAAAACGTGACCTGTACTTCACATATAGATGGACACGTAAACAACAAATATACAGAGGGGAAAATGACAATATATATATATAGAGAGAGAGAAGGGAAAGCAATAATGCGAGGGAGATCAATTATAAACATCACTGGATTGGAAACGTGAACTGAATTCCCATGGAAAATAAACATCTTGGCAAAGAGAATGTTGAAAATTGTTGGAAAATTGTTGGAAAATTTGTTTGTATTGGATTGGGTTGGGTTTTGTTTGGGTTACACTTCAATCCAAACCAATCCAAACCGCCGGGTTATGATTTTTAGTGGACGGGTTTGGGTTTTATGATGTGTAAACCGTAGTGTATGGGTTCGGTGACTAAAGTGGTCAAAATTCAATCCACCCGACCCATGTACACCCCTACCAACTGAGGTCCAGCCAAATCTCTTAGACCAACTCCAATGCAAGCCCCCAAATTTGGGGATCTTCGTCCCCAAATTTGGGATTCATCCCCATTTTCTCTTCTTTTGCTCCAATGCTACATCCTCTATATTTTATTTGGAGATCTCCATTTTTTAAGTTTTCCATTTACTTAAAAATATACTTATCGAAGTCTTAATATATAATTTGTTCATGTTAATTTTGTATAGTTCGTCATCATTTTTAAATACAAATTTTCCGGTAGATTTCTTTTTTTAATTTTGAGACCAAATTTTTGTTGACAAAAAATTATTGACCTAATTTGGGTTTACCCACAACACTTGAAAATTATTGATCTAATTAAACCCCTAACTAATTTCCTAATTAAACCTCAATTAACCCTTAAAACCTTAAAAAGAAAAAGAAACGCCACATGGCGCGCTTTGGGGAGTCTCTATATTTGGGGGAACCCCCATTTCCACCCCAAATTTGGGAATCCTTTTGGAGATCTCCCCAAAATATAGAGACTCCTCCATTTATAGAGGCTCCATTGGGACCAACTTTTCCCCAAATATAGAGGCTCCCCCATTTATAGAGGCTCCATTGGAGTAAGCCTTATCTCAACATTTTACAGTTTGCATCAACAGAAGAAAGCCGACTTTGTGCCCTTTTTTAAAGAGTAATCAGACCTCACCTCCCTATGTCATCACCTTTTGCTTGAGAACCCAATTTTTATTTCCATCGTTCTTTTGATCCCATGCTGCCATGGATGATGTAGGCTTCTCCAAGCCTTTATTCTCACTGTTGCTGAGCTATACATGAATCAACCCCACTCCTAATGTCTCTTACTTAACCTCTTGGACCTCCTCCATTCACATTGTGACATGGTATGTATATATCTCCATCTCTTTTGAATTTCATCTGCAGCAACTCAATCAAAGCTAACCACTGCATTAATCCCAACAAGGTGCAAGATGAAGAACCCATTTCAACTCGGTGTAGGAATTCGTATCAGCTCACTGTCACACATGGTCAAGAAGCCATATTCTGCAGCAAGATACTTAACTGCACCAGCTGATCAGGCACATTGTCCCAATAACAAATCTCGCACTGCCATAGATTCTCAGGGCTTGAAACGAGGGCATGACAGGAGGAGAGAAGGGATGCTCACTAGGATCACTAGCTTGGGAAAGAAAGCTGACAGCTTTGACAACAGTGTTAAGGAGCATGGTAAGATAACAATAAAGTTTGAACAAACCGCCCATTGATACTGAACTGGATTGAACTCTTTCATTAGCTTAAGTTAAAAGCATTGATTTGAAACACTTGCAGTGAGACTGGGACTGAAGATCAGTGAGACGATGAAAGGCAAGTTGAGCTTGGGGGCTAAGCTTCTTCAAGGTGGAGTCGTGGAGAGAATCTTGAGGCGGTTGTTCAGTGTTGATGTGGATGAGAAGTTGTTGAAGGCCTCACAATGCTACCTCTCTACCATGGCTGGTCCAATTGCAGGGCTCTTGTTCATCTCGAGCTGCAGTGAGAGGTCAATCAAGTTCTCGGCACCGGATGGGGAATCGATCAGAGTGCGGTACAAGGTACATAGCTATACTTTGTTGTGTTTGCTTGACCAAGAACATCCATCTGCTTATTTCAATATTTGGTAGTTAAAAAGTATCCAACTTTCTTTGTTTGTGTTGATGCTGCTGCTGCAGGTATTGATTCCACGCAGCAAGATGGAAAGAATCAGTGAGAGTGCGAATGCATAGAGACCGTCTCAAAAGCACGTGGAAGTTGTGACTGTGGACAAATTTGACTTCTGGTTCATGTAAATCATCAGAAAGCTTTCAAACACCTTGAACAGGCAGGCCATCTCGATGAACCAGAGATTTGGGTACTAGTTGTAATTAGCTAGGTGGTGGGGGTGATGAGTTATTGTACAATTTTTATGAGTAGGAAATTTTCATCTAGTATATCATCATCGATCAACTCAAATGGAAAATCTTGAGTTTCATCACTAAATCTGATCGTCACTGGTCTTGTCGCCACTGATACATGTACTGCTTAGTTTACAGTATTGAGGCATGACATCAAATGTTCAACTCCATTTTGCTCTAGGTGAATGAATGTTACATACTGCAGTAAGACCATGCTACAATGAAAGTAAATGAAGTCAATTTTTGTAACCATTTACTTTGTGCATTTATCTTTTTTCTACTGTGTGTGCTATATATGTGCTATATATATGTTTCCAAACTTGATAAGTTAGAGCAGCTATCACCAACAAAATGCCATAAGCATACTATATATATATATATATGGTGGCATCTTCGGTGCACTCACTTTTTTGGGTGCATTCAGTGCACTCGCTTCATAATCGTCATTTTAAACATGAGATTTATGTCAAAATGATGTCAATCATCATTTATGATGTGATGAACAATAACACACATGAATTTGCACAAAAACCATGAAAGATTTGCTTTAATTTGAAGGATTTAGAGTTTAAAGATCTAGGGTTAGGGTTAGGGTTTACAGTTTGGGGTTTAGGGATAGAACTCAAAATTGGAGGTCTAGGGCTTAGGGTATTCCGCTAATTAGTTGTTATCATATGTTATATCATCATATTATACTAATTCTACAAATTAAAATTCAAAATCTGACTCCTTAAGACTAGTTTTTGAGTTGGGTGCATTGAACGCACTCATTTTTGTGAGTGCGCCGAAGTAGTCACCATATATATATATATATATATATATATATAATATAGATGAGGTTTGTGCTAAGGAAGAAAAGGATCACCAGTCACCACCACCATCACCACCAAATGAATTCATTCACCTTTACCTGCAATCAGACTCACAGTCGCCTGTTTTTTCTGACTTATTTGATTATTTTAACTTGATCTAATCTGCATCTGGGGACAAGTTCTTGAATGAAACGTGCAAAAGGATAAGATGGTGATGATGCAGATATGAGTAGGACAGTAAGACAGCATGATGAAAGTCAGAAGGCCAACCACGACCAGACCAGTCTTTGTTTGGGTTCTTGGAGAGACCATAGTATTTATTATTTAATGTTGTTTATTAAGGAACGCGAGAGAGAGTTGGAACCCAGTCAGTGACACCTCAGCTTACCTAGGATGACATGGAAAGCTGATAAGCACCATTCCACTGCTCACATAGTCACATGCAATGCTGGGATATGAGTGGCTGCATATCATGCATGGTCTGCTTATTAAGAAGAGAGTTGGTTGTTTTTGAAAAATAAAAAGAGAGAAGAGAGAGAGAGAGTTGGTTTTAGTGCAGTTGGATGCATGTTACCACCTATTCTGCCATACCAATTTGAGGGAGATGGAGAATGATCACACCACCTGCACACTAGATTCAGCTCCTACAAAAGGGTATTGTGCCCTTTGCCTTCTCATTAAGGGATCAGAAATTTTGGACAAAAAAGTAAAAAGAGGATGGAGGAGGAGATGTTTGCTTGCATCAGAAAGTTAACAAGCCAGCTCAGGGAAAAAAAGCTTTAATCTTCACAAACATGGGGGGAGGAAAGAAAGAAAAAAAGCAAAAGTAGAAACTGCCCCAACCAACCTACCAACACCAAAGGGTAGATAACTAATAGTGCAATATTGAACACTTTGGTGTTTTTTGTCTTTCTTTCTAAATGGTGCAAAGCAGTATCACATTATCTTAATACATAATGTGAGATATTAATATATGGGTTAGCTTGTAGAAGAATCGTCATGAGCCAGATTTTTCAAGTCACTCTTCAAACCAAGCAAGATGCCCAGTTCAGCTTGAGTAATGGCCTCACCTTCCAAGTTGGAAGCAGAAGTCTTTGTGAATGGATCTTTCCCCTAATAGTTGTATTTCATTTTTTTGTAAACTGGGCCATCTAGAATTGAGAATGAAACTCGGCCACAATCTGTAACTCACCTAGCTGAAGTTATTTAAATGAGGAACAAGAACAACAATGGCAGTTGGTTAACAGATACTTCATTTCTGGACATATCAAATAGTGATGTATGAGGTGGAGGTTGACGATTCTAGGGACCTACTCCCTCTTGTCCACAACCTTATCTTAGAAAGGAAAAAAAAACTCAACTTTCCGAGTCAGTGTCTAGATGCTCCTCTCTCCCCATGTTGGCTCTTGTCTTGTCAATGATTCATTGCTGACTGTAAAGTCTGAAAGCTAGAGCTGATGTCATCCCCTCCTTCCCTCCCTTTATATATCTCCCCTCCTCTTCCATTCTTTTTCCACCAACACAATCTCCTCTCATCATCATCAACAGATACAACAAGAAGAAGAAGAAGAAGCAAGCTAAGTTCACAGCTTCGAAACCAGCAAAAATGAAGGCATCATTTCTCCAGCAGGGACAGGTTATGGGGCTTCCAATCAGTTCATCATCAGCATCAACTGCTGCAAGAATGGCCCCTAGGCCCTTACTCCTGGAAGATACCGCCGCTTACCGCTACATGCCTACTCCAGCTCACCAATCTCTCATGCTCAAACAAAGTAATTGACTAACCACAATCATAAACCCATAAATCTATTGAAGGTGGAAAAGCTTGTTTCTTGATTGTTTGATCGTAGCGAGCGGTTACTAAATGTATGGTTGCAAATACTATTACTGCAGACAGAGTAGATTCCATGCTTAAAAGGATGAACAAGTTGGGGAAGAAGGCTGACAAATTCGCACATGGAATCCGCGAACATGGTATGTTCCTTAATCGTTTCTAACATACAGTGTCGATAAAGGGTTTTATAGTGATCAAATGTATATAGCCTGTCACTAAATGTATTTGATTTTAAATGGTTGCAGTGAAACTTGGGAACAAGATCAGTGAGACCTTGAAAGCCAAGTTAACCTTGGGGGCGCGGATCCTGCAAGTGGGAGGTGTGAAGAAAGTGTTCAGGCAGTTGTTCAGTGTGAGTGAAGGGGAGAGGCTACTCAAGGCATGCCAGTGCTATTTGTCGACGACGTCGGGTCCAATTGCTGGACTCTTGTTCATTTCGACTCACAAGCTCGCGTTCTGCAGCGAGAGATCGATTCAGCTGTCATCGCCCGAGGGAAAATCGATCCGAGTTCACTACAAGGTGGTGATCCCACTGGAGAAGATAGAGAGTGCTAACCAGAGCGAGAACGCGAAGAAGCCGTCGCAGAAGTATATGGAATTGGTGACGGTGGACGGGTTCGATTTCTGGTTCATGGGTTTCTTGAGTTACAAGAAAGCTTTCAAGTACGTTGAGCAGGCTGTGTCCATCTGCAGGATGGCTACTACTACTGCTTCAATATGATTCTGCCACTCGTTGAAGCTTAGTAGCTAGATACTTTGTGTCATGTTGATATGCAATGGAGAATTGAAGAGGGCATAGTTAGTGAGGGGATTAAAGCCCACAGATGTAAAGAGTTTAAGATGTAAATGAGATTAACATCCCTTAATCCGGGATAATGATTGAAATCAAGTTAACACGGTTCGATTCGACGGTATCAAAGAGCTTTTCTAATCTTCTGTTTGTTGCTAGTTCAATTTGTTGGAACTCGAACCTCACAAGCTAGAGTTTTTTTTTTTTTGGTTACTTCTCGAATAGTACGAGATATAAACGACAATCCTAGATGATGGCCCCATGGACGAGATACCTTCATTCAGTCTGCCGATAAAAGAAGCACACAACTTGTGAATCCGAGTTCATGACCCAAAGGCCATGTGTGTGTGAGAGAGAAAGAGACTAACTCGTAATACTCCAAACTCTAACTTCCATAATCGAGATAAACCCTTTCATGTTACATATGTTCACTATCTAGTTTTCTTCTAAATCCTTAGTGACCCCGCGTTGATTGTTGGCGAAGAGGAATCTTAACGTCTCATTATTACAAAACTTCACAATCTAGTTTCTTTCTGAATCCCTCACTACACATTTTTTGGAAGTCACCCTCAAACCAAGCAAACTTCCCAATTCAGCTAGAAATAATGGTCTCATCTCCCAAGTTGATAGAAAAATAATGCCACTACATAAAGGGTCATTAATGAACAAGATTTGAAAACATTAATATCCTTATGAACTCTTCTATTGTAGTTAGTTAAAGATGTTTCATTTCTGGACATAAAGTAGTGTGATGTCTGAGGTGGATCCCGACGTTTCTAGGACCTACTCCCTCTTGTTCAAAATCTTATCTTAGAAAAATAATAGATTGGTCAGCAATTACGTGATGAGAGCCATGAAATCCAACTTTCTGACTCAGTGTCAATATGCCCTTGCCCCCTAATCTCCTCCCTTTTGTGGTTCGGTTTTCTCACCTGGTCATGGTCAAATTCAGCTAGAAATAATGGTCTCATCTCCCAAGTTGATAGAAAAATAATGCCACTACATAAAGGGCCATTAATGAACAAGATTTGAAAACATTAATATCCTTATGAACTCTTCTATTGTAGTTAGTTAAAGATGTTTCATTTCTGGACATAAAGTAGTGTGATGTCTGAGGTGGATCCCGACGTTTCTAGGACCTACTCCCTCTTGTTCAAAATCTTATCTTAGAAAAATAATAGATTGGTCAGCAATTACGTGATGAGAGCCATGAAATCCAACTTTCTGACTCAGTGTCAATATGCCCTTGCCCCCTAATCTCCTCCCTTTTGTGGTTCGTTTTTCTCACCTGGTCATGGTCAAATTCAGCTAGAAATAATGGTCTCATCTCCCAAGTTGATAGAAAAATAATGCCACTACATAAAGGGCCATTAATGAACAAGATTTGAAAACATTAATATCCTTATGAACTCTTCTATTGTAGTTAGTTAAAGATGTTTCATTTCTGGACATAAAGTAGTGTGATGTCTGAGGTGGATCCCGACGTTTCTAGGACCTACTCCCTCTTGTTCAAAATCTTATCTTAGAAAAATAATAGATTGGTCAGCAATTACGTGATGAGAGCCATGAAATCCAACTTTCTGACTCAGTGTCAATATGCCCTTGCCCCCTAATCTCCTCCCTTTTGTGGTTCGTTTTTCTCACCTGGTCATGGTCAAATTCAGCTAGAAATAATGGTCTCATCTCCCAAGTTGATAGAAAAATAATGCCACTACATAAAGGGCCATTAATGAACAAGATTTGAAAACATTAATATCCTTATGAACTCTTCTATTGTAGTTAGTTAAAGATGTTTCATTTCTGGACATAAAGTAGTGTGATGTCTGAGGTGGATCCCGACGTTTCTAGGACCTACTCCCTCTTGTTCAAAATCTTATCTTAGAAAAATAATAGATTGGTCAGCAATTACGTGATGAGAGCCATGAAATCCAACTTTCTGACTCAGTGTCAATATGCCCTTGCCCCCTAATCTCCTCCCTTTTGTGGTTCGTTTTTCTCACCTGGTCATGGTCAAATCGACCCGCGGGTCAGAGAAAACACTTTTCATGCGAAGTAAAAATGAGATCGAAGGGTGGAATGAAATGAAATGAAACGAAAGGAACGCACTTTTCTGGCTGCTGCTGTTCAGTTGTTCTTGCTGCTTAGTTGGACCAGCGAATGGGTCCTTTGGTGTCATAAACCCGTTGCTCCCAATAACTCGAGTTGTTGGGAGAGATTCAATCGTGGATCTTATACCACTCTCTAACACGCCCCCCTCAAACGAAAGTCATCTCATGGGCTTGAAGTTTGCACAGGCCCACCATACCATGTGCTTGAAAGACAACGGTTAATATTGGGGGTCGTGGAGATTCGAACACATGACCTTTCGGTTCTAGGCTCTGATACCATGTCATAAACCAAGTGATCCCAATCACTCAGTTGTTGGGAGAGATTCAATCGTGGATCTTATACCACTCTCTAACATTTGGAACCTTCAGGCTTCAAACTCGAAAAGCCCAATTCACGCACTGCCTATCGATCGATAAAGGACAAACCGGCCATGCGAGCCTACTCCTGGTTGTTGAATGTTGACCACCAAGCGGCAGCCATGAAATGAATCGGGCAAATCTTCTTTGACCGCTGCAGGAGAATTCGTCCAGCAAGCCTACTCCTGAAGGTTGGAATTTGGAGGTTCTCCGTCGGGGAAACACTGCAAGCAAGCAAAGCCATCGACTGCCGCCAATTCGCTGGTGGGGGAGCAAAGCTTCTCAGGTGGGAAACATCAATGTCTGTGTTAGCTTTTACACCGGTAGTTCTTCGCACTCCGACATCTGTAAAGGCATCTTTCCCCTGCCAACCACGTCCCAAATTCAGGACCACCGTCTCCTTCGCCTCAGCTCCGGCTACCCAAATCGGCTTCTCCGACCCTTTTGTGCTCCAATTAGCCGAGACCCTCGAGGACTCCCACTCTCCATCCCCACTCCCTTCCCTCCAGAATCTCAGAGACACCTCATCTGAATCTCTACTCTCTACTCCTTGGCCTTCTCGCAGAGATGAGGCATTTCGGTTCACTGATACTTCACTCATTAGGCAATCCCAAATCCTTCCAGTTACTCAACCTCCTAAAGTTGGAAATTTGGCAACCGGGTCTGAAGATACCAACTTCTCCCATCTCTTTATCGCTGATGGGTTTCTGGTGAATTCCATCCCTTGTGCATCCAGTTTGCCTGATGGAGTTTTCATCGGCAGCTTATCGAGTGACTCTTCCGATGGGATTCGAGAAAAGCTTTCTTCTTTGTTCAGTGATTTTCAGTGGGGTGATATGTTTTGGTCCCTCAATGGGCTGGGGGCACCGGATGTTACTGTTATTTATGTTCCTGCAGGGGTTAGAGTAGAGACTCCAATCCATCTGAAGTATTTATCTGTTGAAGGGAGAGAGGGGGGATCTAAAGTTTTGCCCCTTTCCAATCCTAGGGTGTTTGTGGTGGTGGAAGATGGAGGTGAGATTGGAATAATAGAAGAGTTTGTGAGTAGTGAGGGAAATGAAAACAAATGTTATTGGAGTAATTCAGTTTTGGAGGTGGTGATTGGCAAAGGTGCAAAGGTTAAACATTCTTATGTGCAGAATCAGTCATTCAACTCTGCACACATCAAGTGGACTTCAGTGAGGCAGGTGCAGTACTTGTTCTTTACTCACATTTATGCAACTGTGTTGATAGGACTGAATTATGCAGTGTGTCTTATGGAGAAGTTTGTCATTGGCCCATTGTTTGACTGAGCTTATGGATAATCCTACGAATGATTATGTATAGTATATAGATAGTGTGAGGATCAGTATTTAGTGAGCCTAATCTCTTCACTTTTGGCTAAGAATCACTACAATAGCATGCTGATGTGGAAGGTGCTTTGTGCGCTATATATGCTGCCAGTGGCTTGTAGTTTTCAGCATTGACCTGTGGCCTTAACATTTAACGTTGGAAGCCAGGGCTATTGCTAGCTTAGCTTTACTTGCCACCTTGATGAGTGACCATGTTTTGTGGAAAATATAGGTCCTATTTTTGCTGTTTTCTTATGCCAAGCCAGGATACACACCCTCTTCTGAGCTTAAAAGTGCATATACCATGCTCAAATGGCCCAATAAGTATGCACAAATGCTTTCTATTTAATGAAAATCACTCACCTTCTTCAAAAAAAAGTATGCTCAAATGCTGAATTTGGTTTTTGGTATCCAAGTAGTCTAGAAATTGTCCAGCTATTTCTTATCACAATGCATAGTCAAGGTGACTGCTGATTCCCTTCTCATCTTGAACCTTTGAAATCCCATGTTATTGTTGACCCTTTAATCGTGTCCATACATACAACTGAATTTTACTCTTTACGGAGGTATTTTACTGGTCCCTAAAGTTATAAGGTAGTGAAACATGGTATTTTTTGGGAAGTTTGTGGTGTGTCTATCATCATTCATCAGCATTAGAGATGTGGAGAATTGCCAAGTCTGCCCTCTGGTGGCATTAGCCTATGATATATGCAGGAAGAGACCTAACCTGATGCTGCAAAATCAAGCAATAGAGAACAAGATGAGAGTGCATATATGATCTGTGTTCGCTTTGATTTGTGATTGTGCTTTAGTAGTTGATGCATCCATGCTTCTGTTTCTTACCAGACCTACCTCCTTCTTTAACAGAGAATGAACAAAGATTTAACTGCCATACAGTTTGACACAAAAGGTGACCGCCCACTTGCAGGAATCAGAAAGTAGGTACGAACTCGTGGAGGCAAGTAGTGGCGGGAAATTGAGCAGGCACAATCTTCACATTCAGCAGTTAGGCCCCGACACAGAAACAGAAGTTTCAACCTTTCATTTGTCCGCAGGGGATCAAACCCAGGATCTCCACAGTAGGCTGATCTTTGACCACCCAAGAGCTTATTCTCGACAGCTTCACAAGTGCATCATTGCTCACTCCTCGGGACAAGCCGTGTTCGATGGGAACGTAAGGGTTAACAGGTAAGTCCACTTTCAGTTGAGACCGTATCTGATCTTTTTATTTGAATTGAGCCGTTGCGTTCTGTCTTATTAATGTCACGAATGTGCGTTTTGGCTGGCAGGTATGCACAACAGACGGATGCCGGGCAATTAACAAGGAGTCTGCTGTTGGAGCCTCGAGCAACCGTGAATGTGAAACCCAACCTCCAAATCATAGCAGACGACGTGAAGTGCTCCCATGGAGCTGCGATCAGCGACCTGGAAGAAGATCAACTGTTCTACATGAGGGCACGAGGGGTGGACTTGGACACAGCAAGGAAGGCCCTCGTGTTCTCCTTTGGGAAGGAAGTAGTTGATCGGTTGCCACATTCGTACTTACGGGAAGGAGTTGAGAGGCAAGTGAAGGAAGTGCTTCGTAGGTTGACTTCTGAGAATGAATGAACTCGGATAAGGGAGAGTAAGTGAGTTACATCCTGTGTAATACTACAATGCGATCATGCAATTTGTAAAATTGTATGTGGGCTGTGTCTAATACTAGATCGAGATTTGAGGCCAATGAAGGGGCTTTTGTACTCCTTCAAGTCAATATTATATCTCAATTCATCATCATTTTTGTCTCTCTGTTTGAGTTTGCTTCTGCTGCCCTTTCCATTAGTTATGATCTTCTTTGTGGAATGCAATGCAGCTCTTGGATAACTTTATATATTTGCCTCTGCCCATGAGTTCACATGTGTGGATATGGTTGATTGGGTTGGAAGAGGGATAACTAGGCAAGGAATGTACCTTCCATATCCTGTTTAACCTCTCATGTTCCCATCCATTCCATACATCAACTTTGTTTTCCGTCACTGGAAGACAAAATTCAAATCAGAGAACAGAGAAGAAAGAATTTTGTTTGGCTTCTCTCTAATTTTGGCTCTGGAAAATTCGTTTGTTCCTTTAGTATGCCGACGGGAAAGCGGTCCGAGTATTACGTTTGGATATAATTAGATCTCTTCTACCCTTCACCTGTGCAACTCGTTTATTCTGTTCTGCTTTCAATTTGATTTCTTGGGAATAAAAAACAGGGTAGGCTAGGCCTTCAGAAAGGAGGAGACCTATATACCTATTCCATTCCTCCATTCCCTTCCCTTCCCTTCACAATTGTATTGTAGGCTCTTGTTGCCGATAAAACTTCCGGTTCCTCACCCTCATTGCTTTGCATTTGCTGCATTTCCCCTTCCCTCCATTGAAGCTCGAAGGGTTCCAATCTTCCTCCTCTGGTGGTGACTGGTGAGCTCTCTCCCTCTCCCCCCTCTCTCTCTTCCGTTTCTTCTCATAAAGTTTGAAACTTCATCGGCAATGGGAACAGATTTGAAGCTTTAGAGTTGTGGGGTTTTCGTTCCCAATTCGTTGGAGAAAGAAGCCCTCTCCAGCTCCAGGGTCGCTCTCAATTCCGAATCTCACTGTTGTTCATGGGTCGTAGGGTTCTTACGCCACCTCATCAACCCTCGATTCCTCCTGGCCATCTTATTCTTTCTCGTCCATTGCCCTCCACCACGGAATTAATTAATTAATTAATTGAAACCTCATGTTAATTACCGTCGTTTTAATTTCTTTGTGGTTAATGACGAACGTGCGCTTTCTTTGACGATCTACAGGCTAGCCGCGGGTCCCACCACCCCCCACCGTGGTGGAACGGAGGTCAGGCCGACGACAAAGTCTGGTCTGCAACGTGGCTGACTGAGAAGAAGGACGGCGGCGAGGTGGGAGGTCAATTCGCTTGACCTCCCAGATTTCCGTTTCCTTCTCAGGTAAAGATTCAATATCCCCATTCAAATATCCTTTCACCAGAAGCATTGATTCCGTTTCCTTGGTTGTTGGACAATAAACATCTCCATCCCCTGTTTTCTTGCAGACCCTCGCTTCATTTCCATTTGGTGGCAGCTCGGATCCCGTCGGAATTGGTGTCTTCTTATGAAAAGTTGCCGTATTTCGGCTTCGATCAACATGGGTTCTTTGTCTGGAATTTTCCACCGCCCCGTAGTAGCAGCAGCCGCCGTTGCCGTCGCCTCTGTTTCCACCGACAGATTACCTTCTCTGAAACCGACGCACGACTCCTCTGCTGAATTGCATTCCTCGCCGCTTTCTGATTCCAGCTTCTCATGGGCTTCTTCTCGTGCTTCCTTGTCCAAGCTAGCCGATTTCAACTTCGTCAGCAGAATTCGTGTTCCAATCCCTAACGTCAACCTGCTCGCCCCTGTTTCGACCCCAGTCTTACCTTCCATTAATGCTGCCACATCAATAGCTTTGTCGGTGGCTGCCTCGCCTCTCCTTGCCGATTTGTACAACTCTGCGCAGCTGGCGAAAGGGCCTACGCATTCTGCACCTATGATCACCTTGGCTTCTTCAACCCCTGATGTTTTGTACCGGTGGCACCTGCCAAACCCTAATGCCATTGATGTCAATGGCTCTTCGGATTGCTCGTCCGCGAAGTCTAGGACCGTTGTAGTTTTGCTGGGATGGTTGGGATCGAAGCAGAGGCATCTGAAGAAGTATGCTGAGTGGTATACCTCAATGGGATTCCATGCCATTACATTCACATTCCCCATGTCTGAGGTTCTCAGCTATCAGGTAGGGGGTAAAGCTGAGCAGGATGTGGAGTTGCTAGTCAACCACCTTGCCGATTGGTTGGACGACGAGCCTGGGAAGAATAAGGAGAAGAAGAACGTTGTTTTCCATACTTTCAGCAATACAGGATGGTTGACTTATGGAGCTATATTGGAGAAGTTTCGAGAGCAAGATCCTAGCTTAGTGGAAAGGATTAGGGCATGTGTTGTGGATTCTGCACCAGTTGCAGCTCCTGACCCACAGGTAAAAAGATGCTTGCTTTGTGGTTACAAATTGAATGTTGATGTTCTTTCTGCGATTTGGGATTCTGATGAGCAAATGATGATTGCATCATTCGTGTTATAGGTATGGGCTTCGGGATTCTGTGCTGCATTTCTGAAGAAGAACAGTGTGGCTACGAAAGGGCATGCGATTTCGGATGTGGAGCTTAGAGTTGGCACTGTGAAATCGCTCAACCAGCCAGCAAAGCCTGCACTAACTGAAGCAGCTCTGCAAGTGGTTCTGGAAAAGTTCTTTGGTGTGGTTCTGAATCTTCCTACAGTGAACAAGTGAGTCTGAAACTTCTTAGCCTAGTTCTTTCCAATGAGGTTGTTAACCATTAACTGAGAAACTAAATGTAGTGCTGCAATCGGTTCGACTGTTGCAGGAGACTCTCTGATATACTGAGTGTGCTATCTTCGGACCAACCAAGGTGTCCACAGCTGTACATTTACAGCTCAGCAGACAGAGTGATCCCTGCTGGATCGGTGGAATCATTCATAGAGAAGCAGAAGAAGGCTGGGCACGAGGTTAGAGCGTGCAACTTTGTGTCGACGCCTCATGTTGATCATTTCAGGAGTGACCCGAAATTGTATACTAGTCAGCTCGCCCAGTTCATTGACGATTGTGTGATTAGATGCTGCAACCATTCTTGACTAAATGAAGGGAGGGCAAGAGAAAAATAGGATCCCTTCCCTTCCCTGACTCAAATTCGTTTTTTCATTTCATTTCTAAACTAGGTATACTTACTTGTACAAGGGGTTACATATACAGCAAACTGTTTTGTTTGGATGCTGAGGGTGTAGTGATGCTGCAAACGCAAAACTGCAGTGCACCTGGTGTTGGGCCTGGTGGGTTATACGTTTGTTTCTTACATTCTATGCCAAATTATTTTGTTAACTTTTCTTGGTGCACAAGTTTTCTCTGTAGTTAAAGTAAAAGGGTAACATTTTTCAACGATGAAAACAAATAATAGAAGCTTGAAAATGAATTCTTTTGGTAGTAGAAGTTCCAGTTGATAATCGATGTAAATGAACAATGAACACTAATAACACAAGAATATAAATAGAATTTACTGAAAATACAGGAAAATAGAGAAGCACCCACTTTGTACTTATTAAAGATGGAAAAGAATGATATACATACATCGTAGTGATTCTCTGAAGTGGTTTGGTCAATACATTACTTAGCCAGCCTACTCTAGTAGTGATTCGCTGAAGGGATCCACGAAAACTCTCTTTTCTTACACGCCAAGCATACTCCGCATCACAATCACGAGCAGCCATTGCAGTATCAGTTGGCAGATAACTACTTATACAGATAATCTATCATCAAATATACCTAGTGCTGTTCCTTCTTCCCCACCATTTCTTCTTCACTTTATCAAGCGCCCCACCACTAGTGTCTTCACTCCCAAGCTTATTCAATATCACCTTCGTCTCCCTCAACCTAGAACTATAATCTTTCTTCCAGCTTTCAAACATCTGCTTCAGCCTCCGGAGCTCCCGGTCCGGGTTCAAGCTCGCTTCCACCTGACCCGATTTCACCTCTACCAAGAACTTGGCATCGTCGCCAAACACCTGATTCCTCTGCTCGAACTCCTCGGCCAACCTGCTTATGACGCTCAACCCTGCGCTCATGGGTCTGAGCCCATTACCACCCTCCTGGCTTCGATAGTTGCTGCCACTGTCCCAAGTGGAGTCCCTCTCGTCGCTTGCATTGACCGATGCATCGGAGTTCCTCTCGGAATCGTCGATTGCGAGACTCTTCTTGGCGATCGAGAGTGATGATTGCAGTGACCTCATCTGCTTCTGCCACACTTCCTCCATCGACTTCATTTTCAGTTCGTATTCAGACCAGCGGCTCTCGTATTGTTGTATGCGCTGATGGAGGATGTCGTTCTCCTCTTCTTTCTCTCTCTGACCGGCCTCTGCCTTGAGAACTCTCCGTTGTAGTTCGGCCAGAAATAAAGCTTTTACCAACACTTCCTCTGTCTCATTCCCCTGTTTAGATAATACAGGGTTAAAAGAAAGGTTACGAAAAGGACTAAACTTTCAGGTGAATCGAATGTTGATCTGATGTTTATATAAGATCCAAGAGTTCTTTCAGAGATGAAGAAGAAAAAGGTAACCACCTTGACCCTGGACAGTAATAGCCCAACATCCCCGGAGCAACGTCTAACCAACCATCCACGAATAACTGCAATAGGAACATCACAAGATAAGATAATTATGGATGAATAACATGTCGTGAACCAATGTGCAACAATAAGTTGAGGAAAAATCATGAAGCGTTACCAGACTGTATCAAGATTGATGCTTGATGAATGTTGTTATACTTGGTCCTCCATATCATGGTCTTCCCCTGCCTTTGGATAACAACAGCAGCTCTATGTCTTTCTCGTAGAACTAAGTATTCCTTCCGGATCTTTGCCCCTCGAATAACTGTCCAGAGATGCAAAAAAAGAAAAAAAAAATGTTATTCCCTCTCAACATAGTTTCAAAGCCTCTTGCAGGTAGAACGCTGATATCCAAAGTAAAAAAAGTTTAAACAGGAAATGGCATTACATGACTGAAGTGTGGCTATTCCTCTCCTAAGCTCTCTCATGTAGCAGCGAGCTTGGTGACCCCTGAAGCAGCTTTGAACTCGTAAAACACCATGGAGGGTGCGATTTCTTGTATCTTCAAGCATCCCAATCTGCAAAATTGCACAGATTTAAACCAACTTATACAATTAACAAATGCAGGGCGCTTCAGAAACAGGACCGGCATGTGCTGAAAAGACTAACTCTATATGCCCAAAGCACTGCACTTTATGAGGATTCTAGGTTATTATCACTTCTAAGTTTGGATTTGTAGAGAAACTGAACGCTGAAGATATTGACTTCATGTCTCTGTGCAGAGCATAATAAGTTTTCAGATTCTTTTCGTGATGGGAATCACAAAATAGCCGAAGTTAGTTTCACACATTCATATAAAGGGTATCTATATCTCAATTCTCACCTGTCCAGTCCGGAAGAATAACTTGGTATAGCCAACTTGATACATCTCTGGTAAGATACCAAACTGGTGAAGAATGGCAACAGAAACGCCGAGGGGGTCCTGCGAGATGGTATTTTCCAGTAGCAGGAAACCGTACCTGTTTGCAAATATTTTTCAATCTTACTCAACAATAGAGCACTCGAAGCGATGTGGAAAGACAAAACGAGTTATTCTCAATACCTTCTGGCAAACTTCTGATGGGTCATTCTAGTGGGAAATCCAGACCTGGATATTCTGACAACTTCTAGGACTCCACAGCATCTCAGCTGTTGCAATACAAGCCCCTGGTTGTATGATCTAGGGGATTGATTGTTGTTGGGCTTTATGCATCTTACGAAATGTGGTGTGGTACTTTCTAAGCGTTTCATCAATTGGAAAAGTTGACCCTAGAACACCAAGTGTGTAAATGATTAGGTAGCAAAATATCTAGCAATCTACTCTGATAAGCGTCAGTAAGGCACAAGTAAAATTGTGTGCATTATGAAGCATTAGCAACCAAACCCAAAGTGACACCAAATTGACTCAAAAGACAGCTTAAACAAGGGTCAGTCCTCCAATGCTAGCTGGGAAATGCACAAGCTTGTGGCATACCAAGGTATCCAAAGGCATACTCATAATAAGTACCTTGAATTTTGTTGCTACACTGAGCTTCTGGGAATCCCCTCGGCCAGATTTATGCAATGGACCAACGACAGGCTTTTCAGACTGAGCTAGCATATTTGAAGCAAATATCTGGGGAAGGTGGCATGAACATGAAGACAGAAGCTGAATGGAGTCCATGTGCAGTAAGTCCCTATTCTTCTCCAGAAATGCAGTTGTATCATAGGTAACCTAAGTGTTGATGGAGTAAAAGGGTTAAGCATCTAGGAATATGGGTGCAGTATTAAATTAAAACAAGAGAGATCATTTCCTAGCAACTTTCGGCACTAGACAGACTGCACAACTGTGTATTGAGTATGAAAGAAGACAACCAATCATACCTCCCCAGCATAATGGGATACTGTAAAAGCTTTGCCCCGTTCTCCTCTGAAACAGGAATTAGATTGCAGATGCTGCTTTAGCTTATTGGCAAAAGTCAAATCTGTGCCATTTGGGAAAGTGGACTCTTCATCCAACAATGATAGCAACCCCAACGGTTTCTACACAAAACAACAAACAATAATTGAGCAAATTGCAACATCTCAAATTGTATACATGTGCAAAGTCATTAGACTCTATTCATAAGCTTCCAACTATTATTGACATTCTAGAAAACAAGTCCACAGATGAAGAAGGGAAAATATGAAGAGATTATCATAAAACATACACGGTGTTTGAGATATGTACCACACACCAATTTATCAAGGTAAACTCAACCATCCTCTGTCACATAACTACATTGGTATTGTAGAATGTCTCCAACTTGAAACATTATCAAGTAACCATTTCCATACCTTTTCGTAAAGATTGAGACAGTCCTGATTATCCTCAAAATCAACTTTCGTCCAATCAATGCCATCTTGGATATATTCCTGGAAACAGGAGCGCAATTTTATAAAGTAGGATTAGTATTTCCTTTAAATTCTGCACACCCAATCTTTTAGACAACTGAACTGATGATTCTGCAAGAAAAAATCCCTTCCAGCCAAGGCACATCATCTGTAACTACTAAGAAGGATAATTTACAACAAGCGGTGAGCATTAAGAATTTCCACATTATTTCTAAAGAAAAGTGTTTATGCCTGTTACACGACAATATTCATCTGTACAGTTGCTGTGCTATTTACGGATTGTCAGAATATGTGGAGCTGGAAATCCTACATTCAAGATCTCACTGTGTTACTCTTATACAGATGTTCTAGCCAAAAGAAAACTCATAGACAACTCACTCATTTCACATCACAACAAGCACCAATATTCTACATTCAACAAATGTTCATTCCTAATTAAGATGACACAGATCTTATAGCTACCTCTTGCTCTAACTTGAATAGATGTCGGTTGAAGTGTTGCTGTAGTCTCTCATTGGCATAATTAATGCAGAATTGCTCAAAGCTATTCCTCTGCATAAGCGAAAAACAGATGAGAAGAACATTGACAAAATGAAAAGGAAAACACACGAGAAGCATCATTTTACATACTTCAAATGATTCAAATCCATAGATATCCAAAATACTGATGGATCTGCCAGTTCTCCTTTTCCCAACAGCCAGAGACTTATTAATTTGCTCAACCAGCCATTCAAAGAGACAAGCATAAATAGACTTTGCTAAAGCATCTCTTGTATCCGTGGCCTGGAAAGTATGAAAAAAAGGAGTCAATGCATGTTAGAAATATATAAATGAAAGGAATTATCAAGATCATGTCTCAAATGTACAGAAATGGATGAATTCAACAAGTGCCCCGTGATTAATGCAAATCCACAGACACGGGCCATGACAGCAAGGAACCTTGATCGAAATAAATTCACTCGAGCAACTTAGGTGGCACTAGCACCGGGCCTGTGTGGTGTGTTGGTCAATAGAATAATCAATCAAAGCAGGGATGGATCGAGATCAGAAAAGGAAGCAGGGAAGTTGAGGGAGAATTCAGGTGAACCCAAATGACACAAGATTATTCGGTTACTTCTGCAACCA